CTAGCTACAGTCACCCACCGAGTTCAGCAGAGCCACACTGCTGTCTATGAGGAGCAGCCAAAGCATCCAGAAAACACCAGTGACCTGAAAGTGCTTCCATACCCCCAAGTATCTGACATGGTTGGGAGGAGGGCCCACATGTCTTTCTCATGCCTTTGAGGCTAGGGGCCAAAAAAAAACCTGCAAAAGACTAGGGAGGAAATATTTCAAGCTGTGGAGGTCATAATGATATCACAGCCACTTATTTCTGCAGGTGCAAAAGCCCAAGGAACCACCAGCCAGATATAATCAAATGAGTGTGGCTGTGTCCCAATAAAAGTTATTTATACACAGGCAGCAGGTTAGATTTGGCTTGTGGACCACTGATGACTAAGTCCCTGAACTATACTGAACCTTCTCCACAGAAATACTAGCTCCACAATCAGTATGATGTTAAAATAAGGCCACAAGTTATATGGCTTTATTGTATGTTAACTGTAATGAGCAATCCTCTCTGTCTCTCTCTGTGTGTCTCTCTGTCTGTCTCTCTCTCACACACACACACACACACCTACACCTTACCATAAATTATTCTTCCTTCTTATTAATACATTTTTCCCTTTATAATTTAAAACAAAATGGGAAAGAATGGAATTTGTCATACCAACCATGTATTACTTTCATAACAAATCCTTATTAATTGCATGTATCATCAGTAAATATTTCAAAAATAATCATTCTACACTTGTTTTACAACACGGGGAATTGAATCCAAGGTTTCACCTACACTAGTCACATACTCTAACATGCTTATTATTTTAATTTAAAATAACATATTTATGATGTTTTAATAATATCCACAGCCAGAAATCAGTAAGAGAGCTGGCAGGGTAAGAACTATTCATGTTTTAGGATCAAAAAAGATGCCAAGGGTGAAAGCCAGGATCTCCGAACATCTCTAGTCTTCCTCAGAACTCCATGTGCTTCCCCTCTTCTACCAGTCTGATTTAACAACAAAGTAGTACATCAGGTCACAAAGAGAAAGAGATGGCGACAATAAGACCCATAGACCTTACACAGTCAACTGTTAGTTATGGATGTGACAGCCATATTCTGGTCAATGACAATGGGAAACAATAAGTTAACAGATGCCTACCAGCCAAATAACAGCACTGACTCACAGGGAACATGGTCCAACCAGTGGTAAGAAGAAAACAATAGGCATGGAATAAACTTTCCAGAGCAACAACCTAGTACTACTGGTCAACCTGCAGTCCTCACCCCTCCTCTCCCTTTGCCAGCTAGTATTACTCTGATTTTTCTACCACTTTCTCACTTAAGGGCTTGAGCCTCACCACCTCACTTCCTCCTCATTCCCACTCCTCCTTCAATTGACTCACATGTACCCTATCATGAAGCCCAGGCATTACTTTCTCTGCAAAATATCCTGGCTAAACTAGATGTTGCTTTTTTCTGAACCTACAGGGTACAGGGACAGGTGAATGTGTCTCCCAGCCTTCCTTCTGCTATTAATCTTACTTACAATAAGAAAAATTAATACCTGTGCGCCTCACCCACAGTCTACCTTACTGTTTGCCAAAGGACATAAAGCGCCAAGGGGGCAGCCTTGTCACTGTGCTATCACCACAGTTACAAGCGGCCACTCCACTTGGAAATCCCGACTGCAGATCTGAATGTCTCAAAAAGTCTCTCCTGTGTATATACTTCTAATTCCTCTAGGGATAATAGCTGGATTACATAATTCAGACTTTACAATAGCTTCTATGACAAGCTCTTCCTACAAAGTGACCATTTCTCATTAGGGAGCTGTTGGAGAAACTTTTTATCCCAGTAAGGCGGCATGAGAAAATGACCTTCTTGCTTTAATACAAATGTTACTGTTATGCTAGATACACAATGTTTCTTTACTCAACTTGGCAGGTTCAACAAAAGGGAAGAGAGAGGCACCCTGTAGCAAAACATCATTGAAGGAGACAGCTGGTAATTGGGTTGTCCCTCTTTATGGATAATCAGATCTACACTGTTCCTCAAACACTTTTCATAAAGTTTGGTGTTGAGCTTCCAGCAGGCCACTCACACCCAGGACAGAAAGAGACATTTCCCCTTAGAGAATAGGATCTCCAATCTTTTCAATGTTAATATACAAGGTGAGCTTTAAATATAAAAGATCCTTCCTCCCCCCCTCCAGCCACCTACACACAGGGCAATTTGTCTTGTACTGAAACAATGCAGTCACAAACACAACCCAGTATTAGTGGTGAAGGCAACAATACAAAGCTGGCTGGCCTGTGCTGAGTGTTTATGCTGTGCCCCAAACCATGGATTCTTCCATCTAGCAACCACCCTAGATTATCAGTACTATTGCCACTATTCTTACATTACAGGCAAACAAGCAGATCTTGAGCCAAGTCAGCAGCTACAAAAGTAGCAAAACTGGAACCATGGTGGCTGGACACCAGTTCCCAACTGTATCTCTATACAACTGTACTTCCCAAATGTAGATTAGAAGCACAGTATAGAGGGGGCAAGGAATCACTTCCCATGCCACATACAGTAGATGGAGAGAGAGAAAGGTGACAGGATCATGCTGTTGCCACCATCCTGTCTCCTCTCCTGCCATTCCTAAAAACACTTTTAAACAGTGTCAGAAAGTACGGTGACAGGATGCTTACACATACTTAATAAACTTAGTAAAGAAAAAGAGCTGTAAAATGCAAATCTTTCTCCTACTATCCCTTCCTTCCCCTTTGACTCCCCTCCCCCAAGTTGTAAAGTTTATTTCCAACATAGTGTCTTGTGAGTCTCATTATTGCTATGGGTCATCCTGTGTCCTAAAAACAAAGGAGGGGGTAACAATGCACTGTACTCATCACCTTACTCATGTAACTATAACCCCTCTGTACAGCATCTTTACAATAAAAATACATTTAAAAGAATAATAAAAACAAAAACATACAAGTCTTTTAGAACTACAACTCTTCTATATCCAAGTCCGTGCTAAATTTGAGTTTATAAAGTCCTTCATTACAATCTGCCATAATCTGATATGCCTGACTCTTCTGTGGTCTTAAGAACAAAATATCTGGTGTCTGGTACTTCTACTTGACAGACAACAGTATTTTTAGTTTCTTCCTCTTCTCCTTCCTCCTCCTCTTCTTCACCTTCCATTCCCATTTTAAAATACAAGACTCCTTAGCCACACAGAATAAATCAAATCCCGTCTGGGCATGTACCTCTCACTCCCTTCCTCCCTCCCTCAACAGACAAATACCATCCAAGGTACATCTCTCTCCTGTGGACACCAGAGCATTTGATCTGCCCTCTATTGACTGAAACTATGTCATAGTTAAGGCAAAATTTTCATGCTTTCAATGCAATGGCAGTAGAACCATGAGGCAATATTAGTGCACTAACACAGTAAAGAAGCGGGAATAAGATTTTTTTTAAAAAAAGTACTGCATAAGATTTCAAAGCAAGAATTGAAATATGCAAGTACTTCGCTCCTGGGCAACAAAACAATAAATTTGATGAAGACTTTCTCAACTCTCTTCTTGTAGCACACAAACTGGCAGCCTACAAAGTACCACTGAGATGATTCATGATTTGGAGATGATTCATGATTTAGAGGGGAAAGAGACAGACAGACAGAAGCAGACAGACAGACAGAGACACAGAAACATTTAATGAAGCTCTAGCTTGAAAACAGATTTGTATGTTGAAAAGTAAAAGGTTCTGAGTAATGCTAAGACATTCTCATTTTCAGATTCAGAGAGGGGAGGGGGAAAGAAGAGGAGGAAGTTGCCTTAAAATAAGATTTTAGAGCTAGATGTGGTAGCCCCTGGTGTAGACAGCAGAATATCACGTCTCAGGCCAACCTCAGGTACCCCATACTGTATCAAAACCACCAACCCACCCCACCCCCGGAAAAAGTACAGTGTCTTTAGTGAAAAGATGACAGTTTTAAGAATGTAACAGCTTAGCTACTTGGAAACCAGGGTTCTTGGAGGTATGTCCGGCATCTTACCCATCTCTTACACTGGGTGGCTGTCCCCCACGAGTGCACTGGGGTCCACTCATTTCATACCAACTATGGGGATCTGAAAAGTGTGAAGCCCTTGGCCCCTAACCAGCATCCTGATGGCCTGTCCAAATGTACAAACTTACTTCCTAACCCAGAAAACGGACCATTTGGATCCCCAAAGCAATGAAGGCTTCTCCCACACGGAAGCTACGGGGGGGTTCAGTGCTTTCACTTTATTTTTTCAAACACAAAAAATAACGGAACACGCGTCCTTCCTTTTCCATTCTTACAGGGCCTCCCATTTTCTTTATCTTCCCTTTACATGAGAGAAAATCCTAATAAATATCCCGTTGCTTGGAAGGCATTAAAACTTAACGAGAGGTCGGGGGCGGGGGGGGGGGGAGTTGTGGTTTTTGCTTTGTTTTGGATGCCCAGCAGCGAGATGGGCCGGCAGAGTTGGGCTGAAATTAAAATTCCTATAGGGCTTATCTATCGTTGGAACAACAACAGCGTCTGGTAGGTTCAACTCTGCAAAGCAATGCGAGGCTCAAGAAACAGGCACTCCGCGGCTGGTGTGCTCCCGGTCACAAAGGCCACCCGGGCCCGCACCCGAGCTGGAGTCCAAGTCCCAGGCTCGAAGCTGCCTCTGATTCACATCATTCTCAAAGAAAACTGGCGGGGGACACGGCGATCGCAGAGAGAGGAAGCAAACACTGGGGGGACACCTAGGTGGGTGAGGCTGGGGAGAAAGTGAGGGGAGACCCCAGGAGCCCGGGAGCTGCGCGGCTGGGGACCCGGAGAGGGAAAGGACAACCTCAAGGGGGGGAGGAAGAGGTGGTAAATTGTGGCAAAGGCGCAGAAGCACCGGCTGCAGATTAACCAGGGTTGGCGATCGGGCGATCGGGAGGGAGAAGAGCGCGCGTGAAGCGGCCACGAGGCGCCCGCGCGCCCGGGGTGGAGAAGAGGGACGCGCCGGTACCTGTATTGTTTGAAAAGCTGGTCTGACTCCCGAAAACCGTTGTTGAGCAGCATATTGATGCCGGCCAGCGCTAGCTCCGCGTCCTGCAGGGGCGCGGGCGCCGCG